GTATATATATACATATAGATATATATATATAATATAATATCTAATATATATATGTATATATATACATATACATATATATATATATATATATATATATTATATATAATATATATATATATAATATATATATATATGAATATATATTTACAGATATATGCCATATTTAAAATATATATACATTAACATATATATATATATATATATATATATATATATATATATATATATATATATATAATATATATATATATATATATATATATATATATATATATATATATATATATATAATATATATAGACAAACACACACATATATATATATTTTGCGCCACCTTTCAGGGTCACTTACAAGTGGCTTGAAAGTGTTTTCCTTTACTGCTCTTGCGTCCAGTATTGCAAGTTGTTAAAGCATTGTAGGAATACTAATGATGAATTTGCAATGGCTTTTCACTTTCAATTTCATCTTTCATCGTGATCCAAAAAGTCCCTGGTTAACACGTGATCCATTCTTGGGTTCTTGACCTTTTTGAAACCTTAAGTGCCACGAAGTTCGACATGGCCCACCTTACTTACCTCTACAATCGTCACCAAACTCTACATACTCTACTCTGAAACATGTCTTTACAAAATGTCTTGTAACCATTATAAACTAGCAAAAATATTTTCGACTTATGTGTTATGATCGGTATTTTTTGTAACATAATTGTGGATGTTTTGTAATATTTACCATTGGAGTTCATGGACACAAGTGTTTCAAAGGAATGGCTGTCTTTTTTCACTGAGTTTGCTACTGAGGTGGTACGTGGAGCAAAATGGTGTAACATAATGCACAAGCACATAGCACTTTGTTAGGGTAAGCTAATGCAGTTGGAATATCACTCTGCATTCTGCTCCTTATCTTGGGACTAATGTAAGTAATCTCACTTGACCTGCAGGAGAGCTACCATTGCCATGAAACAGTTAATCAGTGTATTTTTTCTTCCATAAGCCAAAATATTTTACAAGCAAGAAGGGACCTCATGAAGTCCATGCAGAATCTCTCGCACGCGAAGGTAGCCATCCTGAGTGTCCAGACGTGGTGTATTTACTCTCAAATCTCAGAGCTACCTTCACCTCGAGAACTATAATATTATATATATATATATATATATATATATATAATATATACTATATATATATATTATATATATAATATATTATATATATTATATATAGACTATGCATGTCTTCAGGGTTATTACGATGCTCTGGCTGATTTGGCAAGATGATAGAAGCCCTAAGATGATTCGTGGTGTCATAAGCGCCCTGATGATTTTAGAAAATGGGTGGAAGTGGAAACTATACAAGAAAATGGGTTAGGATCACGGGCTATTTTTTCTTGAAATTGTAATAAGATTATGATTTCTGATAACTAAAGACCTCTTTTTTATAATACTTTGGTGAACTGTTCATCAGCGCGCCCAAATCCTCACTCTTAGTTATTTCCGTTTACAGCAATCACCGCCATCACAGCCCCGACCATTGCTGTTATTACAGTTACCTCATTAATTACAACGAGTGAGGCGCTGAGAATCGACGCGAGACGTGAGACCGAACGAAAACGGATGTTGGCGCTTGATAAATGAAAACACGTGTCCGTTTGCCTTTTTTGTTTGCATTCTCGAAAGGAAAAGTGTAGGGCGGGCGACGTCGCTGGGGAATGTGAAGGATTCGGGTCCGATCTGGCAGTGAAAACGGGCATGGCGGCGGATGCCTGGTCGGGGAAGCGGCTTTTTGGGCGAGTTTGGGCGGGAAATTCGAATTCTGCAAGAAAGGTGGAAAGTGAGGATGCTTATAACATGTGATTCGGGAGAGAGGCGTCGGTTTAAATATATTGATAACACTAAATGTT